CTCTGTAATTTAAATTAAAGCAAGCTTAAATTTATAAAAAAAGCAAACAAAAGAAACCCATTCACACAATGGTAATAAGTAGTAGATTTAAAAATACATGCTTTTCTTTATACTGCTACAACTTAATGGTTTAATGATTACTGATTATAAACATAAGTGTTGATACTGTTTACTATTAAAATGGAAAAATATTTCACTACTTCACTTTGTATGAAACAGTGTGAAAATTCTCTCTATCAATTCAATAATCTTAAATTTGTATTGTGAAAAAAAAATTATCTAATAAGTAAGGTACTCGAAGAAGCGGTGATCATAACTTATTAAATTAGTAGTCACTATAAGTCGAAAACGCCTAACCAAATTATGGAATATGGGAGATAAATTAGCCGTTTATGCATAAGGAAATCCACTTGGAACCCTCGTACGGTTGTCTCCGGTTCCAAGTCCGGATAAAGTGGGAGGATTGAGCATGGGTTTAGCGATCCCATCATTATATATATATATATATATATATATATATATATATATATATATATATATATATATATATATATATATAAAATATTTATCTACGTATTTAACAATGATAGTTCATTATGAATAAGAATACATAGTATTGAGTTATGCCAATCAAGTTAACAGATGTCCACTGGTTTGAGCAACTCAATATCACGATGCACTTTAGTTGATTTTAGATGATTGGAGGTAACAAGTTTACGTCCGATGCTAATTTACAATCAGGATCAAGGTGTACTTGAATTTTCAAGGGAACTGATAATGATACTAGGAAAGTATCAGTCCTTCACAAAATGGTTGTCTACAACCAACTAAAGAATCGATCCAAACATCTAAACCAGTGAACGGTTTAAGAAAACAATATAGTTCAACATTTATTTTGTAGAGGTGATGTATATTTTTCAGCTACTCAAAACAAAGTACACTAACGTAAAATTCAAAAATGTGATCAAATAATTAAAAATTTGTTCCTCAGAACCATTCACCCACTGCTTCACAAATATATTTAACGTGAATAACATTTATTAACAAACATCGAAATATGCTAATCCTTATGAAATACATAAGCGATAACTCAGTTTGATGGAACTACGAAACTAGGTAACAAGTTCATACAGTTACATTTGAGTTTTATATATATATATATATATATATATATATATATATATATATATATATATATATATATATATATATATATATATATATATATATATATATATATATATATATATATAAGTCAAAACTTATTGTTCAGAAATTGAAAGTTTGGTACATTAATCTCTAAACCATAGATACATATAAATCTATGTACATAAGAAAAAAAACACTTCTCAAAAAATCAATAATCACCATTCTGAAAAGCTAATAAAAATCAGTAAGTATATTTTATTCAGTTTACATTTTACAAAAGGAATGCTTATAGAAAATGGTAATATCTATCATAATTATGTATAAGACGTAAATGAAGGTAAATTTCTCAAGATTCAAAAAGATAATTAAAGGATTTTGTTTCATAAAAAAAGAGCTAATTATATTCTTTTTTTAATTCTACATGAATGAAAAAGAAATGTATTTTAAGTTATTAGTAATATATTCTTGTACATGTGACTATCTTATATGTACAACATGTATGATAAGTACAAGGTTGATGCTTCATTTTTACGATTAGATTATAGGTAATCATCCGTAAAGTGGGAAAATAACATATTATTATTCAATGAAAAAAACGTGATGTAATGAACATGAGAATCATGTGTATAGTACAAAAAAGAATGATAGTATAAGTGTTAGATGGTTGGAGATAGTTGGCAAGAAACCATGTTAGACACCAAGGCGTATGTCGCCATTGAACTAAGTGACTGGAAATTTTGTGAAATATATTTGATGTTAATTGGTTGAGGATAGTCACTAAGAAACCCAACAAGTGTAAACTTACAAAAAAACATAACAGAAGAATAGAATGTAGCTAACAGTAACTTCGTTCTACCAGAGAGTTGATCATACATTTTATCAAGAGATCGAGAGAAATCTTCAGTGAAACATATACCAGAAGTTACATCCATTCGAACTCACGATAAATTCACACTAGTGCGAAGTGTCTTATAATACCTTAATTGATACTGACCAATACACAACATAGGTGAGATCATTTTATTATTAATGAGTTTATTGATCTACATTAAACAATTTAGTAGATGACGTGCTGAGACTTAAAGAGATTGATAGTGGATCTGAGTCTCAGAACTAACATAAAAACTAGGGGTTTAGATACATCCAACTGACGCGTCCTAAACATGACGAGACGTTCATTTAGGATACCAGTGCTAGCTACAATTGAAAAGTATACTAAAATTAGTTTAGTTTGAAAATCTTTACGAGTTTCCGAGATTTGAGGGATCCATATCCAACCACATTAAATAAGTGATATATCATATATAAGTATTAGAATATTGTTGAAACAGAATTGAGAAAATTTTTTAGAAAATATATGGTCTACAAACAACAAGGATTAAAATATCCATAGATTATCTATTTACTCACAATAAATATTAAATCAGAATATGTATACTTTTATTGCGGTTCTCGTATTTCATGAAGAATAGAGAAAAAATATTCCCAGAAAATTCACAACCACAACACACACATTAACTATAATTGGCCATATGTCATCGTTCTGAAACAAACAGAAATACTTTGAATATTCAAAAGTGAATAACTAGACAACAGACACAACAATTGTATGAATAATAATAGCATATTTTAGACGCATTGCGTATTTTCGTTGTCCGGATCTACCATTGACAACTTCAAACAGCAATAAGAGAAAACCACAACAAGTTAAATAGACAGTAAGCTGTAATATAATTAATTATCCCTTCTGCTGACCACTCGCACTCTATCGGCCACCAAAATAACAGACAGCATATACAAGTCTATTGTTATGACGAAAAAGTGTATGAGTGCGAAGGGATACACACACAAGTACATATTTAAACTCATTAATCAATTATTACATAATAATAATTCAATACGGAGAAAGGAAAATAGTAAAGAAGATCAGCATAAATAATTTCATGGCAAGACAATCAACAGTGGATAGCAAACCAATAAACAGTCATTTGGCAGTAAAAATTGAATAGTTAATAATAATGTTATGTAATTCTATTGAAAATTTCTATTGAAAAATCAATGCTAACTCCAGAGAGAATTTAAATCAGAATATAAAATAGTACAAGTATATCAAACGTCTATTGGTTCACTTGAAATCTACAAGTAGAAACACTAGCTTACTAGCTGAGTGGTATTTTACTTCATGAAATATGTCAATTTTTTAGGTTCATTCTGTGTATAGTTAGACTACTTCACAACTACAGAATGATTTTATATTGTTAATAGTATTTTATATAATGTAGGGGGTGATCAGCAAAAGGTATTTACATGGTGATCATTATCGTATAAGTAGCGGCAATGTTTCTGTTAGCATAGAGGGGTTGTAAAACTTGTTTTACATGACGGACTAAGCTAAGTTAAACAAGTCATGAAAATAGGGAAATACTTGGAATATAAATCGTCGATTATCAACTCAGTAGTTTAAATGGGAAACTAATGGCCGCGAGGACCAAAGGCCAAAAGTTTGAATGAGGATTATCGAAGAGTCTTATAGCAGAATAAAATATATGTCCACTACCTGTTGTGTTTCAAAGGCTATTTAACTAGACTAAACCATTTTTACTGTTGGATTACTAGAGTCAATTGAATAAGTCTGGTGGACACAGAGTTAAGTATGTCTACAATCTCAAAACAATTTAGATCTTTAAACAAACGAAATACATTCACAATCTCATTTCCACAATTTGATTATTTTGACAATTTAGAACTGAAGGTAAAAACGACACTAAAATTAGAACAATTAATTTTCATGCATAAACTGACGTTAATCTGTCATGTTAATAGTCCTTTTCAGATGAAACTACCACAATAGTTATGAGTATATGGGTTCAAGAAAAACAGCTAATTGATGTAACAAGAATGATTAGTACATACTACTTATTCACTGTATTGGATCTTAAGTAAAAAAATTGATAATAAGTATGAAAGGTTTATGGAAACTGTTGAACTTCTTAATCCAGATCACAGTCTTATCTTGTTTAAAGACAAGAGTAGGAAACACTGGACACTTATTTGGTTTTATTATTAGACTCCTCATTGGTGCACATCCACGATCCTATGAATTGGTTGGATTCAAGACCATCACGGGTCATTGACATCACCTAACCTTCGGAATACTAAGCCAGAATTCAATAGTGTACATTTCTATAGTCAATCTACTCAAAATATGGCTTAATCACATCCCAATGTTATGGTGAATAACTGTCTCAAACTCGATATGATTAAACTCGATTAAGTTTTCAGAATTCTGAGAATTGCCTCATTATTAGCATGTTATTATGACTGCTAGTATACAGGGTTTGTTGAGATTTTTGATAACTTAGTTTGATAATAAATTATGTTGCACTTCTTCTTAACACTTTAACGCTATCACCATAACTAAATTAGGTTGACCAGACGTATTTCAAATAGTAAACCTTTTATTTTATTTACTTAAGAAAACACTTTTCAAAAAGTGCTAAATCCAACAAATTTGGATAATGTAAATGGCCAAAAAAGAAAACTAGTCGAAACATATACACAAACAAGTTAAAGTTAGACATAAACACCACTGGATGCCGGCTCAGTGGTCTAGAGGTTGAGCGTTCGGGAGTGAGACCGGTCTGGGTTCGAGTCCTGAGCGCGGGATTGTGTGTGCGCACTGCTTAAGAATCCCCTACTAGAACGGAACGGCCGTCCACTTCTTCTGGGTTTTCAATGGTGGTCTAGTTTCGATCGACTATTGATTTCAACGGTGAAAAAAAAACTTATCTGTCATTTAACTAACATGTATTAGATACTTTTTAAAAAAAAAGACAATAATAAAATCCTACCTTCCATTTGATGATTTCTGCTTCTAAATATGAACGATTTTTAGCGGCTTCTGCATGAACATTTTCCAGTTGCCTTTCCATTTCCTCATGGATTTTTTTGAAATTAATTTCTTGTAAAGATAACTTATTTTCTAATTCATGATAACGAGCGTCTTTAGAGAATCATTGTTATTTTTAGTTGAAAAATAAAACAAAACATATGTAGTGCATAAGAGTAATGCAAAAAATAAATAACATAACATAATTAAGAGTACAATCGAACCAGAACAAAAGAACTTACAAAATAACCAGTTATATGAAATATTGAATCTTAAAAAACTCAGTGAACAAAGTGTGAAGGTTTCGCTCATATATACTATCTATTTATCTGTCTGTGTCTATGGATACTGACGTCGAATTTCGGCTCCAATTAGATTATAATGGTTTGACTCTCAAGGCATTTCCACACAGAATGATACCGAATTTCTTTAGACTTGTGAAGTTTCCTGAAAACATGAATAAGCAATGTTTGTCTATTGAATAAAATCTACGGTGCAACAAATGATATCTGTTGGACGCAGTTACATTAAGAATAATAATACATTAATTTCTGATGCTTTGGTATTAAATTGAAAGTGATTCAGTACATCCATCAATTCATACATACAATGTGAAAGTCAGTTGATTGTAACCATAATTACTTTAATAAGGGTGTTGAATTAACATATATAAATGAAGTATATAAAGCTTCTAATCTTAGAAACTGACATTATATTACATTTCAACCTTCTGAATTCGAAGTCAATCATTAATTAGTTCATTTACACGATGTATAGTTCATTATTAATTTAGCCAATAAAGAAACAATCAAACAATACTTGGTTATAAGAAACAACAATAAAACTGAAGATTTAGAGAAATATATAGAATGAAAAAAATTGCAACCATTTCGCTGATTTAGAACAACGTCCCTTAAAGTGAACGATCAAAGATTTATATCTAAACAGAGAACCTCAGCACGGAATCGAGTACATTACTTACATCTTGATACACAGACACATAAATCCTTTTCATTTGTGATTTCGTTCTCCTTATAATTCAAATGGAGGTGTTAGTGACACTACACTGTTGCCTAAACAAAAGTAGAATTCAAGTAAAACTCAAACTCATGACTTAGGGCTGAAAGTTAAACCCCATAATCATTGAGTTACTATTCCATGAGTAAATTACACGTAGCCTATTTTGGTTGGATAGTATAACCCAATTTTAAAAAAAGCAACAGTAAATTTCTCTCATCTATCGTAAAAAAATCGATTCTGCAATGTATTTATGAAGCGATGAATATCGCAATCTCTTCGAACAAACTGACACACACACAACTCCCTCTTTATACTGCAGTTTGGGGCTGACAGCAATTATTAATTTATAAAAGCATTTTCACATAAATTTTCTAAATATTTTGTGAATTAACAAAGGCAAACATAGTTAATCCTTAATGGAAACTCTGTGTTAATCCTTAATTTATTTACTAAATGGAATGTGGCTAGCAGTAAAATCTAGGACGAACGATTCATGCTGGTTGACATACCAGTTGAGTATACCTCCATCCTTGTAATCGAGTCCCGGTGTGGACAGTAATACTGAGAAGCAGGCACATCGAGCCGGCGAGTCCTAAATAAAACGAAACGACATTCTTTTGTCCCACTACTAGCCCCACTCTATTTATTCGATAAAAACGTGATATACAATAGCTATATCGAAGTATTCCTCACAGGATGCGCATATGGCAACTAAGATTAAACAAAATTCAGTCAAGAATATCGACAATAAGATAATTCAAATTATTACATAGTGAATTATTAATTCAAAAACAAACAAAATGCTGTCAGGTAGGATTAAAATAATACATGACGTGCAATATTAGATAACCGTGAATTTCATTTCAATGTCTAGCAATATCGTACCGAAGAAACAAGACAATATTGCAAAAAGGAAAGTAAAATTATGGGATGAAAAATTAAGATACGAATGGATAGTAATGTGAATAAATCATACAGAGAAACACAAAAATTTGAATGAGTAGAGACGACTATAATTGATTTTCAACTTGGTCTATGAGTTTATTAGTGAACAGATATTCAAAGTATACTAATGAATAGAATGATACGTCAGACAATTTTTCATATCTGTGAAGTGATGATAACAAATATATTTAGGTATAAAAATAGTCTACTTTCAACCTAAAACAATTAACTTCAACACAGATATTTATAGAGGTAGTAATTTAAAATATCTTTTAACAACCCTAATTGCTATAAGTTTGAAGTTGAATCAGTTTATATCAGAATGTCGTCAAATAAGAAGACAAGCTGCAGAAGAAATATTTTTCTCCTACAAATTACTTTTTAGTTGCAATATGTTATAAATACAAGGTTGGTATATTGATGGAATTCAATCAACATTCGCTGAGCAACTGATAAAACAGATTTGTTTAACTATATCCGGCATATTTCAATTAAGACATACATATTATATGCAAAATGCCCAAACATAAGGTATAAAATGAATGGATTCGTGATAAATTATAATCATATTTGAAACTCAGAATAAAGTAAAAGTCTTTCGATGTGTCACAACACCAACTCAGTGGAAAATGGATGACACTATAGCAAACTAACGAACTAATGACGCTTAAGTTGGCGACGAGATAAATTCTTTACTCGATGGACACTAAAACCGCACTAGGTCATGATTCATTTTTCTCAGTGGATTCTAGGATGGCCAGTTATTACTTCTGTTGCTTTAAAAGACGTAACCCATGCATAAACAGTTCAGTGAAATCAATACTTCAAAGATGTATGTTTGGAAGTGTCATTGATCATATACTTATCCCTCAGTGGTGTTGGGAAAATGATTATTGAAATTGACGAAACTGTTATTAGGAAAGGGAAGCATAATATAGACATGATTGCTAAAGTTGGATGGGTGAATAGTAATTTCATCTATTTTATTGATAGATTTTTGGGGAATCGAACGGTACGTTAAAAAAAGTCATTTACAAGAAGTGCTAAATAGGATAACCTCAACTCTCATAGTCTTTTCTGGGATCATGTCGTCCACATCTAATCTTTTCTAATGTAACTACCAATGTAACTACTTTTACTACGTTAGCGTTTTGATAATCTTAGCCCGTTGTCCTGTCCTAGTGTGACGTAGTAGCTCGAACGGATACAAAAAGGTGTCAGGTTCTACACTGCCTACGACTGATTAACTTATAATAATAAACCACGATTAATTATGGTACCAAAAATAACCAAAGTGTAATCGAGATTTTAAGTTTTTTGAGCTGGATGGTTTAATTATGAAGCGTTTATTGGATGAAGAGGATCAGCGCTTACTTCAATCAAAATTATTTTGATTACTTCATTAGTATTAAACCAATCCACTCTGCCGATCATGTTTTTGTTAGTTTTTTTTTCTCAAGTCATATTATTTCTATGCAACGTTTTTTTTTTGAGCTACGACCATACGATTTAACCGATCGATACTGCGTTGATTGATAACTTGGATTTATATTAATGTGCCGACTGATCAAAGATGTACTTGGATGCCATGGTTTTAGGAAATCTCTTAAGTTTCGGAATCACCTCATTTTAGACTTTTGATATTTTCTCAATCAAATTTTTGTTCGAAGTTGTCCACATACATTGATGTGATAACATGGCTTTCCACCAACATTTTGTGTTCGTATGTAAGTAGATTAAATGGGTGTCCAATCTTTCCAACATTGTGGAGCTTATCAAAATTGACACAATTTATTTCGTAGGCAATGTTGCGTTTGTTTCCCACTTGCTGCTACGAGTTTCTGTCCTCGCAGAATAGAACGAATTGATTATATTGGCTAATGAATGACAGTAACTCCGAAGAGTCCTAAAATCCTGGTGGTGATTCCTAAAATGCTTTCGGCCCTCTGAGCGATTCTGTGATTGTATATGAATTCGCTAGACACTTTTGGTGAAGTTACGTGAGTAGCGAATATATAATTTATTGCTTATCGCATATTCAGAAGGCTTTAAAATGAATTCTGACTCTTCTAAAAACTGTCCAATAGATCAATGCTTTCGTGAATTGTCATCTTTATAGCTGTTATAATTACGTACTTTGGATTTTATTTTTAAATTCTTCTGTAAATTTGATCCGGTGCTGAAGATATTGTTGACTATCTTAACTGATGAATATCTTCAAATTTATCTGTTTGTGCCTTGAATAACAAGAAATATCATATCACAATACATAACAATGTGTTGACAATAGAAAAGTAAATAAGGTTTAAAACAGATGGTGAAAAAAGAAAGGAAATCTAATCTTACTAGCTTGTTCTAATTGCATAGTTAATGAGCTAATTTCATTTAAATGTGTATCCGACAATGTTAATGCATCGTCTAATTGTATTCGTAAACCAGCTAGCTGTGATTCACACTTAGCATGATTAACAATATATGAATCCATTACATTTTCGTTTTCATTATTTATTAACAAATTATTAATACTGCTATCACCATTAGATTTCAGGAAAGCATTTTTACAATTATCACATTTATTTTCTTGTAATTGATGATTCATTGATTTATCAAGTTGAACTGAGCCTAATTTATTGCTATTATTATTAATATTATCACCATTCTTCAGTAGATCTGATGATGATGCTGATGCTGTCAGATTTGATCCACGTAATGGAGTTGAATGTAGTCCGTTCAGCAAAGCCAAATGATGCGGATGAGTGGAGGAGAATGAGAAACCTAGAAAAAAAATTTCAGATAAAAGAACGAAAAAAGGACTTTTATACACCGTGAAATGGATGTTCATGTTCCATATAGATTCACAAACGTTTATCTCTGCAGACATGTCAACATATGGTATTGGTAAAATGCTGAGGAATTTAAATGTGTTAAAATAATAATTATTATTATTATTACCAATAAGATGTAAGTGCTAAAACCATTAGAATGCATGTTAGATCAATTTATCATATTCTCAATCACTGAGAACGCTGACTTACAAAACTTTCATCAACAAGGTAAATAGTTTAAAGTTATCAGAAGTACAACTAATGATTATTTACATTGCCTTTTACCAGTTATTATTACATTGGAAACTTCGTCATGAACCTGCACCAGCAAAGTCACAAGAGGTCTCAGTCAAGTCTCCAAGTAAACAAAGGGTAAATCGCGCTAATCCTGTATACTAACTAGATGAGGCCATGTGAATGATCACACTTGGATTCTGTATGGGAGTTCCGAAGATGTAGTATATGTCTGTGACAGGAGATTCGAAAGTTTTAGTGAATGAAGTCTGTTGTTTTATTCGACATAGGATTCGAACATCGGAAACTCCAAATTGTAGAGTTTGGACCACATTTTCAGGAGGCTAGATGTAGCATTTTGTGAACTCAAATGATTGACATTAATGATACATAGGGAAAAAAGATGGAACCGTAGGCGAAAATTTTATACCTTATTTTTGCAAATTCATTCCTTCTTCTGGAATTACAACCTCGGTCTGAGCTCTTTATTATCACAGTTTTCGTTAGGGATGTTCAAATAGCAGGAAAAATAACTTGTACCACTTACCATTTTATAAATAACCTTTTTAAAAACTTTTACTGCCAAATTAGTCAAACAGCTATTATCTGTAAATGTTTTAGTACATTATTTTGTTACCATATATTCAAGAACGATGAAAATATGTTTAGTATTAATGACAGTTTATCGGATCAATCTTCTTTAATGAATTTAGCTTAAGAATGAATCGCTGCTCTGAACTGACCAAGAAAAGATGCAAAAAATATTATTTTTATTCATTATTCCGAGTAATCTATTCCTAGATGACCCGTTCTATTAATTGACTTGTATCAGTTATGGATTTTGTACCAGGTGAATTTATCGACTATCGTGAATGAAGAGGTGTAGAAAATAAATATGGAAAAGAACTTCAGCGCACAACTCCGTCTGTAGCTCTCCTAGAGTTACTGCCGGTCCCAAGCCCGGATAAAGGAGGAGGGTTGGGCATGGTGTTAGCGTCCCCATCCCGTAGAAAACTAACTCACTAAAAAAACGCTAACCAGAAAAAATAACTCAAACCATTTAAACTCTGCCCTAGGAGTTAGAAGGTCTTCAGTTAGAATAAATATGACGCCTCATGGTGAAAGCCGAGTTCCTTCGGAAGCCACGAGGCCGATGCCCCTTCTAACAACCAGAGAAACAATTTTTATAGGTACATGGAACGTCCGGGCAATGTGGGAGACCGGGAAGACCAGTCAAATAGCAACGGAAATGAGGAGATACTACTTGGCAGTAGTCGGAATCAGCGAAACCAATTGGACCCAAGCTGGACAACAAAGGCTAAATACGGGAGAGATGCTGCTATACTCGGGTCACGAAGACGAAAATGCCCCACACACTCAGGGAGTTGCTCTCATGCTGTCCAAAGTAGCACAAAATGCACTTGTAGGATGGGAATCTCACGGATCCAGAATCATCAAAGCATCATTCAAAACAAAGAAGGAGGGGATCACAATGAACATTACCCAATGTTATGCACCCACAAATGATAGCAACGACGACATTAAAGATCGATTCTATGAGAGATTGCGATCAATCACAGAGAAGTGCCCAAGAAAGGACCTCACCATTCTGATGGGAGATCTAAACGCCAAAGTCGGAATAGACAACACCGGATATGAAGATATCATGGGACTGCATGGACTGGGAGAAAGAAACGAAAACGGGGAAAGATTTGTCAATCTGTGTGCATTCAACAAATTGGTCATAGGCGGCACAATATTTCCACACAAACGTATACACAAAGCCACATGGATCTCACTGGACCACACCACAGAGAACCAGATAGATCATATTTGCATCAATAAAAAGTTTCGAAGGACAATGGAAGATGTGAGAACCAGGAGAGGAGTGGATATGGCTTCAGATCACTACCTGGTTGTGGCCAATTTAAAACTGAAGCTAAAGAAGAACTGGAAAACTGGACAAGCAGCTCTGCAAAGGTTCAATACAGCCTTCCTTCGAGATACTGACAAACCCAATGAATTCAAGATAGCCCTCAACAACAGGTTCCAAGTCCTACAGGATCTACTGAAGGAAGAAGAAACTACTATGGAGGATAACTGGGAAGGTATCAAAGAAGCATTAACTTCAACGTGTCAAGAGGTTCTGGGCCCCAAGAAGCACCATCATAAGGAATGGATCTCTATTGAAAAACTGGACAGGATCAAAGAAAGGAAGAACAAGAAGACAGCAATTAATAACAGCCGAACAAGAGCAGAGAAAGCCCAAGCACAAGCTGAATACACAGAAGCAAACAAGCAAGTGAAGAAGAGCATTAGAGCCGACAAGCAGAAATACGTGGAAGAACTCGCAACGACGGAGCAAAAAGCCACAAGAGAAGGAAATATAAAACAACCATGTGATACAATAAAGAAACTAGCAGGGAAATATAGTAAACCAGAGAGACCAGTCAAAGACAAAGAAGGAAGACCGATCACTAGGATTCAGCAACAGCGGAACAGATGTGCAGAGTGCTTCGAGGAACTCCTGAATAGGCCGGCTCCAATGAATCCACCGGACATCGAAGCAGTACACACAGATATTCCTATAGATGTCAATCCACCAACTACCGAAGAAATCAGAATGGCCGTCAGACAAATCAAGAGCGGGAAAGCAGCAGGACCCGATAATATACCAACTGAAGCACTGAAGTCGGACATCGAAGTAACTACGAACATGCTTCATCTTCTATTCAAGAAGATTTGGGAGGAGGAACAAGTGCCGATGAACTGGAAGAAAGGACACCTCATCAAGATTCCAAAGAAAGGAGATCTGAGCAAGTGTGAAAATTACAGAGGTATTACACTACTGTCAGTACCAGGAAAAGTCTTTAACAGAGTGTTACTGAACAGGATGAAAGACACAGTAGACGCTCAACTTCGAGATCAACAAGCTGGATTCCGTAAGGATCGGTCGTGCACAGACCGAATTGCGACACTACGGATCATCGTCGAACAATCAATTGAGTGGAACTCGTCACTCTACATTAACTTCATTGATTATGAGAAGGCATTTGACAGTGTACCAGGGCCGAGAGTGGGGAGGGTTCGCCCTCCCTCTCGAAATACTCTCACACGGCCACGCGTATATAGCCTCTGCCAGGGAAGTCCTACTCACTGCCTTCTCGTGGCGGGGGTGTTGTTTACGAAAATGAGAGGACGAAAAGCGAATGTCCGGCGCTTTAACCGGATCCCAAACCAATGGTGCACATGGGCTCCAGTATCCGGAAGGAACAAATGGCGTACGAACCAATCGTTGGTCACCGGCTACCATGGGACTGCATCTCCTCACGATGCTCCACTGCCTTGTGGATCAGACGTTTAGTTCAAAGGCTCGGGGTGTGCCCCCTAAGAAAACCACCTGCTTCGGTTCGGGCACCCGAGCAGTATCACAGCCCTCACACAAATCAATTGAGATTCGTGTGGCGCATATGAATTTGGTGCCTCCTTGTACCAATACCTATGTGTTAAAATAAATAAATGAAATAAAATTTGACAGTGTAGATAAGAGAACGTTATGGAAAATTCTTCGACACTACGGAGTTCCTGAGAAGATTGTCAATATTATCCGGAACTCATACGACGGACTACAGTGCAAAGTAGCGCATGGAGGATAGCTGACAGACGCGTTCCGAGTAAGGACCGAAGTCAGACAAGGCTGCCTACTCTCTCCCTTCCTCTTTCTTCTGGTGGTCGACTGGATTATGAAGACTTCGACATCTGAGGGGAAACACGGCATACAATGGACAGCTCAGAACCAATTAAAAGATTTGGACTTCGCAGATGACCTAGCCCTCCTATCGCATACACACGAACAAATGCCAGCATAGCAGCAGTCTCTGCATCAGTAGGCCTCAACATACACAAAGGGAAAACCAAGGTCCTCAAACACAACACGGAGAACAGCAATCCAATCACTCTTGATGGCGAAACTCTGGAAAATGTGGACGTCAAGTTGAGGATTGGAAAAGCAAGGACAGCATTCCTTCAATTAAAGAACATATGGAACTCAAAACAACTTTCAACCAATATCAAAGTCAGGATCTTCAATACCAACATCAAGCCAGTTCTATTGTACGGAGCTGAAACTTAGAGAACTACAACAACCACCATGAAGAAGGTACAAGTATTTATCAATAGCTGTCTACGCATGATACTCAACATCCATTGGCCGGATACCATCACCAACAGCCTTTTGTGGTAGAGAACAAACCAGCTTCCAGCTGAGGAGGAAATTAGGAAAAGACGATGGAAATGGATAAGACATACATTTCGGAAATCATCAAACTGCATTACGAGACAAGCGCTAACCTGGAATCCTGAAGGGAAGCGGAAAAGAGGAAGGCCAAAGAACACATCACGTCGGGAAATAGAAGCGGATATGAAAGGGATGAATGAGAACTGGAAAGAGCTGGAAAGGATTGCCCAGTACAGGGTTGGATGAAGAGTGCTGGTGAGTGGCCTATCCTTCTTCACGAGGAGCAACAGGCGTAAGTAAGTAAGTAAGTACTTCAGCGCACAGTAGATCAACGGTAGACTTTTTATGTCAAAAGATATGACATATAAACAGCTCTCAGAGGACTGGATTTATATCAATGGTAACACCACATCCTCTTTGTATAAGTAAATGCGTCAAAAATAACACACTTACCTGCAAACGCTAATTGACTTCCTGGCAATTCTAATAAACTATCGGAACAACGTCCAGAATATTTATGATCACTGTTAGATGATTCGGGAAAGTCATCACCTCTATCTGCATCTTTACATTTTCCATTATTGTTATTATTTGTTACATCTGGTAGTTGTGAATCATGCCCATTATTTCGTCCATGATTAGAAGGACCTTTATCAGCTACATTTTCACCATCTACCATTAATTCATCATCTTCGTCATCAGTTTCTGGTTGAAAATAAGACGTATCAGTTTCACTACGTAAATGAGGTTGAAACGGTGCACGAGAAGCACGTATATTAGACCATGTCCAGTCAGCAATTGATATATCCATAGAATCTAAATGTCCATCGGTCTGTTGAGATTGAATCCAGTCAATAGAAAACCAAGGATGGTTATATACTTCAGATAAACAATGAGCTTGACTGCCAAGTCTTTGAGTACGATCACAGAGAAGTTCTGAGTGGAAATCATTAACAGATCAAACGAAAAGTTTGTCAAACAAAAATAAAGACGAATAGAATTCCGACAATGTGTCTTACTTTTTCCTTTATACCAACTGATAAATCGAACACTGAACTTCTATGGTTCATTTTAAAGTAATAACACAGCATATATTGATTTGATAAGCTTTAAGTCACACATATGGTGCAGGGGTTAGGTATATTACCTTGTTGCTCAAATTAAAGTAATTGAATTAACGTTTATGATTAATTAAAAGTACGAAAGCACTAGCCTGAAGATACTTTAGATTAGCGACGTGAAGTACACAGGGCATTTCTAAACCGTACTCAATTTAGGTAGAAGGAAAACCCTGAGAATGCTTCCATATTCAACATCAACAAAAATTACTTTGAAGAAACATCGTAACAATTCCAACTCGAAAAATAAACTTATAATAAACCACTTCTGGAATGACAGATAGGAAACATTTAAGATGAACGATTAGGTAATCAGTAGTTTAGGACAAAGGTAAGGAGGCGAAATAGAATAGATTGTCAAAATTAATTCAAATAAGCAAGAGAACTCAGAAGACAAGTTTAAAATTTGAAATTTAAGCTAACTAACAGCCTATAAATCTGAAGGATTATACGCTCAATAACTAATCGATTATGTAGTATCCTGAGATATAAAACTGAACTGAGATCTTAGATATTTTCTGAGGAAATAATTATTAGGCAAAGTATGTCAGGATAATGAAGTGAGATTAAAAGTAGGACTTTTGATTTATATGAAATATGATAAACAATATAAAGCAAAGAAAGAACAAAAATAAAGAATCCCAAATCTAATAATTATTAATGAAAATCTGTTTACCCTATTACTGTCAAGTAAGACGAAATCAACGCAAGCGAAGGGATTACGGACAACGTTGCGATAACATTTCAACGCAATAAGATAAAAATAAATACATGAAAAGCGAAAAATTCGAAGTAATAGCAGTATTGGTGGTAATATAAAAGGTTAAACGTGTTATAAGTTTGAAAGGTAAGGATAGATCAATGGGAAAAAGATTATAAAACAATATTGAAACCCAGAATTCAAAAGATCAATAATGAAGGCATCTGAGCTAATGTTATAGACTTTCAGCCATATCATCCATCTTCAACCGTTAATCAAATCTATCGCGTGGATCCAAACTGAGTAGTCCTCACCTAACAACACAGATCAAGACATCAGTCCACGAATTGAAACTGATATCATGTCTGGATTTGGCACCCTCTAGCTAACTTCAAATATGTAGCTACATCAGTTAGAAATGCGAGTCAAAATATATAGTGGTTGGGCAAATATGACACACATACCAGTTACTTCAGTCAATCGAGATTTGCAGCTTCATTGACTGATTTCCCATCTCTACTTGCTGACGTACGTATAGCTTCAGTATTATTCAATCAATGATTCCTTCATATGGGAGAACTGTACCTACAAAATCCATGGTTAGATACTAGCGACCTATGTTTAGTAAAAACCAACAAAACTAGTGGGCATTTATACTCAACCTAACAAATTGCTAGTCACTATGACAATACTACACCACATTCACAATTAATCTATCGATACTCATATTTAGATATCCGTTTTATCATTGAATATGATACAAAGCAATGGAATTTAGCTTTACCTTCCAAGCAAATCACTCCACAGAATCAGTAGATCCATTATTTATCAATTTATTCTATAAATTCATTTCAGCCAACTATTATATTAGACAATAAAATACTAATCAGATTTATGAAACCCAAATATGAGGATAAGTGTAGGTTAACAACCCTAAAACCTGACGTTCGGTATATACATTATTCAAAAGACTAAATTCAGAATACCAATCAGTCAGTTATAATCAACGTGCAGCCTGAAATAAATGTGCGTTAGCGCAAGTTTCCATAAAACATTAAAAAGATTAGATGAATTTCAAAAGATGAATAGCGAAGAAAATCGACATAATGTACCAGACATGATAATAAGAAAGCATAAATTCTGAGAATATTGGTTGAAAAGTTAAGAATGAAAGGTATAAATGAAAGAATGATGAGAGTCAAGATTTAGAGCCGGATAAAGAATGAATACATGAGAACTATGTTATACAACGTCACCAAAAACTGATGATGTTTATTGAGCGGAGCCCAGTCAGGTAGTCCGCATCTAACAATATTTCTCAGACTAACAGTCCGCAGCTTCATGGACTGATGTGATACTACGCTTTAAATTAACTCCCCCTAATTTTTTCGCTAAACATTTCTGCACTAGCTAACACTACCCATCAAGATAAGAGATGGTTAGATATACGTGTAAAAGGGTTTTTGGATAAAGAATTCACTTGATGCATATATAAAATTCCTGATTTGGTTTTCAGATAAAAATAAATTTTTCCAATAATGATTAAAATCAAGAATCTAAATCATTTTTTTCAGAATATATCTAAATATTTATAAAATGCTGAATGAAAAAAAACATCTTTTATTATTGTTATTTTCTTCCTTACTTATGGTATCCAGTTTATCAACAACTTCAAGCACACTAACTAAGTAAAATACACATAGAATAGAAGAATTTTCATACTAAATAATGAAATGTAAGTTTGATGATGATGAAAAGATTCAGCGAATATATATATATATATATATATATATATATATATATATATATATCATATGATCGAAGGTTTAAGGTGCAAGTACCTTGAAATCATAATCTGAACTAAACAAAATCACCTGATGGTCGGTGATAGTGACGGCGATGATGATACCAATATTAGTACAGATTTCAAACAACAAAAATGAACCAATAGTTCAAGTGAACATCTTTGAATTAATCTCTAAATATATAAATATACACACACTAAAAAACAATCTAATTTTTCTCGAGAAACGTACTCACTACTTTTCTTGTTTTACATCTCTAAATTCTCCTGTTTATCACATATTTGCATATAATTATCACATCCATTAGATCAAAAATGCAGAGAATGATAAAATAAATTGGCAAGAGAAAGGTTTTGTATATGTGTACGTGTATGTGTGAGGAAGAGAGAGGGATAGGAAGGGTGATCTCTTAAACTAAACTATGATCGGACATTTAATCATTAAAGATTTCACCATTCGTATGTAAATCTCACTTCAAAGTCTATATTTCAATATGAATCAAAATATTTGACAAGAATTAAAAGAATACTCACAATTATAACTGAAAGTCTATCAGCTCAGAAATATAATATACAACAAAGTTAAATGATATGGTACTGTAAAACATGATGTTTTAAGAATCAATCAATGGAAAGGTATTTATGGATATTTTCAATTTTTTAGAACTGTTTTGTAAAATATTCATGAAGTTGAAGAAATCAATACTCTAGTCAGCATTCAATATAAGTCATTTACATTATAACTGTAGATCAACATTTCTTATGCAAAATAAAGTGTCGAAGACAAGAAAGTTAAATAATAATTAACCATTATTTCTTTATCTTCAGTTAAACACTGATATCCATTTCGAATTCATTAAATAGCAGGTCTTGAACGGAATACCCATTTTAAATTATTTTTGTCAATGACCGGTTTGTATTAAATGCTTAATGAATTTAAATGAATAAATTTCCAAATATATTTATTTTAAGTGAAACTGACTGAGTTGGCAAACTTAATCAAGTGTACGAAGAACATAAAAAAATGTACGTCAGTCAGATAGTTCTAACAACGGTCAGATAGTAACCATGGTCTAAGGTTCCTTACGAGATTTGACTACCGTACTCATACATGTAAATCATGCTGAAAAATATGGTAAATGGATAAAATCAAATTATTGACCAGAAGGTTACTCAATCTTAGTCTACTTCCACACAAAATCTTTTAAAATAGAATACCTGATAAAAACAAAAAAAAACCTAAGTACCTAGATGAATTCAATGTACTTATATTTACGATAATTATAAAAGTGTTTCAAACTACTTGAACAATCTGGTGTATGTCGAAAATATGAACACATCACTGATAATTCTTAAATGGCGTAGTTTTGTAGTGAATATAACTGTCAGTCAGTCATGTGCAATGTCAAACCTGGCACATACGTGCATTGGTTAGAGTTTCCATATCATATCAGAACAGCGAGATAAAGGTATTTCGATACAAATTTGAGAGTAGCACAAGTAATAATAGTACTACTAGTAGTGGTAGAAGTAGTAAAGATTAGGCATACAAAAAGGAGAAAAAGTATAAGGAGCTTTCAATACTCAGATTTTGAAGAAACGCAAAGAGTGTATGCACCCGCGTCGTTGTGAGCGGTTCTGAGTCATATCACTTAAAGCTGATAAATTTGAAAAAATGTGATACGAAAAAAAGTTTGAAACCACCCTATTGATTACCTTTAACTAATATAAATCGAAGAGACTATAGTGAGTCGACCCATTAGTGAAGATTTGAATTATTTCGTTGTTGATATTCATGACTGAATTTCAATTAGTCTTATTGTCACAATCTGAAAGAATGCACATATTACAACTAAGACTGATCAAAATTCAGTCCTCAATATCAATAACTGGACGACTGAGATCCTCACTAATGACGATACAAACATAATACGCGTTGAACAACTTAGTGGATAACTGAATAATAAGTCTTGGTTAGCAAACAGTCTCATTAAACAGTACAAAACTGATAGCCGATGGTAGATTACTACTTCCTGAACAACAAAATACTCAAAACAGTATTGGAAATAAAAATATTATTGCGAAAAAAGACGGGTAAATATTTATGCGTATGTAAGTACCAATGTATATATATATAGAGAGAGAAAACTCACTTTTCATAAAGTCCAAACAAGCATCGGAAACATTAACATTTTCAGGGAATTTCAAACTATTTGCATGATTCATAATATTAGCATAAGTATTGACTAATGTTTCTGAATAGAATGGTGTAACACCATAAAGCATTTCATAAATAACAACACCTAATGCCCACCAATCCACTTCAAATCCATAACTCCCACCACCGATTCCCTTGAAAAAAAACAAGATAATAATAATAGTAATTGGAGAAGGAACGAACAAAACTGGACGTATCAACAAAACTTTAGTCAGTATTTGTATGAAATAGAATACAGAATTCCAAGTTAAGCTAGACTGGTAACTTTTGCAAAACAGTGATAGTGTGGTATTGTCATATGATAGATGGTATGGGTGCAAAACGTGCCTTATCGATCGTCATATTTTATGTCTATAAAATGAATATGATAAATAAAATATAACTAACAGATAAACTTTTGTTGTCATGTTTATTAACATCATATTGGATCAATCAACTGTCTTGCTGAAGACATAACTTTTAATGAACACATTGGATATACATGAATTAATGCCGTTTTACTTACGAAACTAAAGAATTTCAATCTGTTCCTAATGGAAGTATGTAATTCTCAAATGTTTTACAATAGATCTTTGAATCGGATCAATATATGATGAATAAAATTTCGCAAGAAAGCAAAACTTGCAGTACATATAGAGTTACAAATTTTCAAACTTGTTTTTTTCATACGATTAACAGAAGCTTGGAATCATTAGTCATTTTGTGACCCCAAATAATTTTATTCTCGGTTAATCTTGGTTCATAACTGATAAGTCAAACAATTTTGATTGAGTATGTAGTGCATAAATGATAGTTTTAATTCTATAATGTATCCACTCAGTTGACTGTCTGTTTGTTACATCTTGAAGTAATTTAATTATAATTTAAGTACTTTAATACAGACAAAACGTTATCAGAAAATTATGCAAACCGAATAATATTTAGTCAGAAAAACGATATACCAGGAATTAAGTGTTTGGTAGAATGATCATTTCGGAAATAAACTAGAAATCATTCACAGATTCAAAAACAGTGTACTTGAAGAAAAAAAGGTTAAGGTACTTAGTATGGGGGTGTGAAGATTCTTGAACTTCATTGAAACCATGAATATAAATTAGACCACCATCGAAAACCTGGGAGCACTGGACGGCCATTTAGTCCAAGCATGGAACTCCTCAGACATGCGCATCCACAATCCCACTAGTACGGCTAACTTAGACCGGTTCATGATTTCGATGAAATAGTTTAAGTGTAATATAAAAAGTCAGGTGGCATGCACATTTTTGTGTTCAATGTCATCGTATATTACTCATAATGTATATGTGTAGTTTCGTTTATAAAACAGATTATATACAATAGTCAACATTCAATATTTCCTAAGATTTGAAAAATCATGAAATCAAATAAGTATGTTCTTTTTTTAAAAAAAGCAGCAATTTTCAGATGAAAAAAATACTGTAACAATTAAAAGCGAAGAAGATTACGCGAAGAAAATTCAATTCATGAACTCAATTATTAAAATAAATTATTCTTTACATTAAAATCGATCCAATACAGAACGAACAGTCAGAAAATATGTGGAATCGTTTGAAGACATTTCTTCATATATATATATATATATATATATATATATATATATATATATATATATATAATAAATCAAAGATTTGGTAAATACCATTGGTATTAAACCTAAGTTTTATCAATTTATCGAAAATGAATAAATACCAAATGAGCTTTAATTATTAATCTTCGAAATCCCATAAATGTGAATAAAACTGTACACATAGATGATAAGTATTATACCAACTAGATATGATATAAGGTAAATGGTCAACTGACTAGAACCAAGACAAACAAAAGGTTTAGTAGTAGGCAACTATAAGCATTAAAGTAAGACTGAAATTCAAAATGTCAAACTTATCAGCAAGATCCGAGAAGAAGAAGAAGAAGAATGTATGTTAAAAATGAACATGAGCTGACAATGAATAAATAAGTTGTACCCATCATGAACCTACCGTGTACCGAACTTAGGTTAACTTCAGGACGATTATATTTATTATGATTGAAATACTGAACCCAATTTCAACTTCAGATAGTCCTTGATTTTAAAACATATAATTGGTGCTGAGAATTTAAAAGCAGGCGTCTTTAAAAACTTGTATATTCCCCTAGCTGCATAATGTCATAAGAACCGAAATTAGGCATTCAAATGAAACAATAAAAATATAGAGGAAACAACGCAGAGAATATACAAGAAAGCAAATTCAGAACAACCTTCGTTTCAGGTTATTATATAGAACAAAATGTAGTTATATTAACCAAGAACACCTTTCAGTCTCAGAAAACACTGGTCAAAATCTATATAACATACGCAAACGATAAATCTTGTGATCCTTCTTCCTTCTCTCCTCAATCATAACAAATACACACTCCTGTCATACAACATGTATTAATCACACACTTTTTACAAATTAATTATTAATGTGCTTACACATTATTTTGTGTATATCTAAATCTACTAATAAAATGATTCAATAAAGAAAATTCAAAAAATTTGGTTGTTTATAAATGTTGATGCAGAGGATGGTGATAATGATGATTGCATGTAATCAGTGTACCACAAACAACATTTTACACATAAAAATGTTGAAATCAAAATAATAATAATAAAGCAATGACAACAGACTAAAGTACACAATAATTTCGATATTTTTTCTCCCACTTTATTCTTCTTTTATAAAACCAAAAAAATATTTAAAAATGCAGTTAATAGTAGTAGTATTCATGAAAAGATTTTAGACAATCAGACACTGTTGTAAAATGCTTCATTTTTATTCTTTGCAGCTGTATATAAATTTAAGTGTAGATAAGAACAGAACAACAGATTTTATATGTCACTTAGAATGGATGTAGATATATTGATAGATTTCGATGTATATAAGCGTGTGTATATTGAAGTATAACTAAACAAGACAATGAAAAGATGTAAAGTGTGAAATGGGAATAAGGATTTGTATATACATATACTATTCACAAACGCTGGCCTATTGATTATTCTTGTTTTCCAAACTCTGTTAACCTCATTTCTCTTGTAGTGCAATGTAACTTTTTTCTCTTAAAAACAAAGTAGATTCAATTGTGTATGCGGTGTGTGTGTGTGTGTGAATATTAGTGATTAATGAATGTTATACACACACAAATATATATATATATATATATATATATATATATATATATATATAAGATCAATCAATTTTCAATTGTTGAAAGTGCAGCTTTTCTTAAAATCTACACTTTAAGAAAAAAACGAATGGATGATTCAACCAAATATCTCTTAAACGTTAATACTTTTTAATAATAATGATAATAATATATAGATTCTATATCTAATTCAATTTTCAATAATAGTTTACAACCGGGAAAATTTAATTAAACATGTAAATATGTGAATTGGTTTAATTTCTTTAAAAAATATTTTTAAAGAAATATTTAGAATTGTGAAATGATGTTGAAGAAAATAAACGGATATTTCACATTATTAATGAAATTATATTCATTTCAATCATTTATGACAATATTGTCTAATAAATTTAAAAGAGGTCAAACCATTTCATGCTCATAGTGATTACGTTAAGTAGTAAGATAAATGACACGATATGATCGATCCTATTTAGATTATAATTTATCAGTTGAAACTACTAGTAGGAACAAATGAAACGGAACATAATAGTCCTTTACAAAAGGTACAGCTGGATGACAAGTACCAATTAGCACGAAATCTAATTCCAGGGTGTACAGCTGACTACTAATAACGAAGTATAATAGTAATTATAATAATGTGACACTATCATGTAGATCTGATTTTGTAATAGACAAGTACAAGCTTAGAAAATGGTGGAAAGAAAAAGCGGTTAACCAGGATATCTTCTTTGGTCATGACGCTTTTAAACTCTACGTAATCAAACCATCTGGATTGAGCCGCTGCTTTTTTGAATATTGGTGCAAAGCTTCTAATGGATTTGACAGTTAAACAATAGAAAGTGGTCAGTTAAAATGTAATAAACTATCCTCGTTAACCGTTGCCTATATTAGAGTGTCAGCACAGTAAGGCCTTTACCTATTTAAGCTTGTTCCGGTGGAAAAGCTGATTTTAAGTTCTTAAATAAATTTTTTTAAGAAGAACTACGTAAAAGGGAGCAATAAAAATCGAGAGATAGACATCTGCAATGACTCTGGTATCGAAAACACGACCATAACGCGTATAAAATTGTTGATGAAAGACAGGAGAACATCCTCGCAAATAGATTCTTGCACACCCAAATTGGACGAATAAATAATTACTATAATATGTTGTTACGTATATCAAGACAATGCAACACGTTCTTTCTTGAGTACACTTAACAAGTATTGATCGACAAGAAAAACATGAGTTGTCATGAAAAATTTATAGTTCATAAAGTATTTCACATCGACTTTTAATTTTACAGAGATAATTTATGGTAATAAATGCAGCAAAACGAATGGTTGCATGAGTGAAACACTTTGATAACTTTAAATTATAATGTTGAGTCGAAAAAAAAGTCAGTATACTGGGCGATGGTTTAAAGTTAAATATATATCACATACAGAAACTGTTCGGTGATCATTTCAAAGTTCAAAAAAACATTTTAGTATGGAGATAATGATGGAAGATGGTTGTGCAATGACATGAATTAATTGGAGTTAGACATACACAGCAGTGGATGCTGAGTTAGTGGCCCATATGTCAAATATTTGCCTCAAGATCGAAAGTTCTGAGTCCGAACACCCGTTGTTTGGTCGTGAATGAGTACTGCTGAACCCCATAATAGAATAAACCACATATCCAGGCCTTCATGGATTTTAATGGATGTCCAATATAGACTGATTTGTGATATCGATAACATTCAAACATACCAACAAACCCCTGACAATGAATACTGTTGAAATTGTAACAGTTTCAATAACGGTCATGTTTTCACCGACATTCGGTCTTGTAAACGCATTACCAAAGCGTGACAATAAAAGTAGGTCAACTTAAGCAGTTCCCATAGTTATTTCATTTTTGTAAGTGTTGTGTTCACCGAGTTCAATAACTCAACTGTAAAGTTTTTCTTCATCCTTCTAGACAAAA